CTGCCAGGCCGAGATCTGCAGAACTTGGCAAGGAGACTCAGAGAGTCACGAACCAATTAAGTGAACTAATGGTCTCCTGCAAACTTCACTCCCCTTTCGCTCCTCTTTTATTCCCTCTGGGAGGGGCCGTTCATGGCCTTCCTCCCAAGTCGACCCCTGTTCTTTATTTTTTTAATAGATTTTTATTGTTTTTTTCCATCTATAACAATTTTCAATCATCACATTCTTTAACATTGCTGTGTTATCATACCTATATATATCGATCTTGAATCGCTTCTATATTTATACACATTCATTTACAGTTCTATACATTTCTCTATTGCTTCTTGGTTAAACTAACTTTATTTCTGTTATGCAACCATTTATACCAATTATCCCAAATTTCATGGTATTCAAACTCCTCTTTGTTCTTTAATCTTAATGTTAATTTATCCATTTCTGCGCACTCTAGAATTTTCTCAATCACTAATTAATCTGGGCCTTCTCCAGCCTCCAGGACTGGCCCATGTTCCTCCCCAACCTCCTCATTGTCCAAATCTGCTGCCAGCTCTGCTGGCGGGCCACAAGAAGAGGTCAATCTCCCACAATTCCCAGCAACCCTTTTAACTAGGGAATTCTGGGAATTGACGTCCACACATCTGGAAGGGATTCAAACCGGAGAAAAAACTGTCATGAGGGTCAGTAGAAGCTCTGTATGGGTTCGAGCAAGTCTTTCTCAGTGCTAGTGAGACAGAGGGGTGCAAATCCTCTGATAGTCTGTGTAAAATGCTCACATTTGGGCAGGAGGGAAATGTTATGAGACACAAGGAGACATTTTCTGATACAGTGAGAACAATAAACCAGTGAAACGGATATTGCCTCCAGAAGTTGTGGATGCTCCGACATCGGAGGTTTTTAAGAAGAGACTGGAGAGTCATTGGTCTGAAATTGTATGGGGTCTCCTGCTCGAGCAGGGGGTTGGACTAGAAGACCTCCAAGGCCCCTTCTTTGTTATTCTGTCTCCTGTAAACAAAGTATGTGCCCAACAGACGGAAAACCCGACATTCTAATTTATGACAGCAGAACGTTTTGCAACTGATTTTGTGCGACTTGTCTCGAATATTTCCAGCAGAAACGAAAGCAATTTCATTCCTGTTTCTTCAAGGCAGCCAGAGTCTCCCATATCGTACCACGTACCTGGTTTCTTTAACGTAATAGGCAGGCTGTAGTTGTAAGTGCTGCGCTTGGCCTTCACCGGCATGTCATTGGGGGTGTACCCTAAAGAGATAGAAAGACGATTCCATGAAGAAACAATGAACTGTATACAAGTCGTGGGGAGGAGAACAACAAGTGTAGAACAGTTCTCGGGAGAGCCCGGAATGAGTTGGTGTGCCACAAAAAAAGCCACCCCAGAAACAAGAGAGGCCGACAATAAGACTGAAACCTGGAACAACGTCCTGGCTGCCTTTTTAGATTTTTTACCGTATTTCATGCCGCAGCGAATCCTAAAATCCAGAACCTGGTAGATCTTTGCTTCGGGGTTCTTCCTAGGATCGTAACCAAAACGAACCCACAGGCTTCTCCAGGGTCCCGTGAGCTAAAAGGATCGTGAGAAAAAAAACCAAAAGGATAACTAACGGACTGCTAAAAAGTTAGCATCTCACAGGGTGGGGAGGGGGGAATGGCTGAGATTTTAGTACAGGCCTTCTATTTTTCAGTCAACTGTATGGGATTTTTTATTTTTTTTGGGGGGGGGGGGCTGTTTCGTTACAAGGCGAGACTAAAAGGCCAGGGTTGTGGCTTGCCAGTGACCAGCGGAGCTGGCAGCAGATTCGGACAGTGAGGAGGTTGGGGAGGAAGATGGGCCAGTGCTGGAGTCTGGGGAAGGCTCTGAGGAGGGCTCTGTGTTGGAGGCAGAAAGGGGGCCAGGGCCATATGCCAGTTATCAGCTGCCTTCGGAGTCAGATATCAGTGAAGCCGAAGAACAGCTGGAGCCTGTTCCCAGTGTGCGCATGCGCAGAGTTGCCAGGTGAAGGGAACAGCTACAGAACAGGGGTTGACTTGGGAGGAAGGCCACAGGTGGGCGATGAATGGCCCCTCCCAGAGGAAATCAAAGAGGAGCAAAAGGGGAGTGGAGTTTGCAGGAGACCATTAGTTCACTTAATTGGTTCGTGACTCTCCGAGACTCCTTGCCAAGTTTTGCAGATATCAACTTGGCCACTCTCCAAGCCAGATAAGGTCTGTGGCTGTAAATCCTCCCTTGAAAGACTTGGCTGGATGTGAAGGAGCAGAATTCATAGCAAATTAATAAAAGGGTGGGGTTTTTTTTGTCAGGACAAGGAGTTGCTTCATGCTCTCGGGAAGCCTCGGTCATAAAAGCCAGCATTTTAACCGCTAGATCAAACTGGCTGTCAAATAGGGACCCTAAAAACACAATGCATGTTTATTTCCATTATATTCTTTGCGGTTTTTATTATTAAGAAGCTATCATAATGTCAATAAAACAGGGACTCACCATGTAATAAGCCAAATAAGGTAGTAACAGTTTCAGTTTGTCAGGGTGAACGCTGATGTTGGCTTTCACTGCATTGCGGGACCACACAGGACGCAGCTGAAAAAGCTGAAAAGAATTCATGCAGACATAAAACAAACATACATACATATATACATACATACACTGTGCGCAATCAATTTCAAAGAAACAGCTTCAGCCATTCTACTATCACCAAAAGAAGCTCTGTTAGCATTGGGTTGATTTAAAAAATAAATCCATTCCATTCCATTAATCATTATTTATTATTAAATCTGCTTGCCGACCGTCTCGCTCCTTTGATTTAAATCGCCAACTTAGCTCTAATTTTATGAATCGCCAGCAGAATAGAGAATGTTTGGTGCTTTAATTATCCTTTAAAATACGCTTATCCAATTGCTCTGCCGGCTTATGAAGCAATGAAGATTGATTTATGGATTATCACTGTGGGTGGACTTATTTTTTTTATTATGCTTTTATTAGGGTCTCCGGAAGCTACCTAGAGTTTTTAAAATTGGATGCTAACACTGCAGAATGAATGAAGGAAGGAAGGAATGTAATCGTGGATATAAGGTTCCCCCTTGCACATAGGTGCTAGTCGTTCCTGACTCTAGGGGGCGGTGCTTATCTCTGTTTCAAAGCCAAAGAGCCAGCGCTATCCGAAGATGTCTCCGTGGTCATGTGGATGGCCTTCGGCTTTGAAACAAAGATGAGCACTGCCTCCTAGAGTCGGGAAATACTAGCATATATGTGCGAGGGGAATCTTTTACCTTATCTATCTATCTATCTATCTATCTATCTATCTATCTATCTATCTATCTATCT